AAATTATTACATTATTTAATTTTTGTTTACTATATTGTTTATATTAATTAGTATATTATATTATCAATGATTTGATTTAACTATATTATAAAATGTTCTAGCTAGTTAAATATTTAAGATAGCATAATTTCTATCATTTTACAATCTTTATCTAAACCAATTAGTTTTTCAAAATATGGTCTTAGTTTAAGTGTCTTCTTATTTAAATAATAACCTTTAATGGTTTCAAAACATGGTATCACTTAATTATCTTACTTCATTGTTTTTTATTTTAATAAATATAATTGATTTACTATTATTTTTTTATACTTATTTATTTAACAGTACATGAGCATGAACCAGAATCAGAGCGGGTTTCACTTACCGGGACCAACAGGGTTGGCAGTGTATGGCTGTTGGAAAGGAAGTTGGACATGAACCACCGTGATCGCAGGTGGCTCCTCCTCCTCCACCGGAGCTGCAGTACTCTGACGGTGGAGAGGAATATTTTGAAGAGCCCATTGGAGAGCATACAAACTCCCTTCACTCTCATCTACGGCTACCAATACCTTCATAATCGTCTTCTGTTCCTGCACTCGCACCAGAGGCTGCGCCACCGTCTCCTCCCCCGAACTTGATATCTCCAGTTTCTTTTCACTATATCGATACTCCCTCTAAATCGACGCAAGTTTCAAAGGCTTACCAACCTTTTCCTTGCCAATAACTATACACGTGGCATGGGTGTCCTCAAGAAATTGACACGTAAATTGTGTGTTCCCTCGTGGCCTGGAACTGGATGATGATTTGATTGGTCTGGTATGGTCGGTTCGGTTCGGGTTTTTTTTTTCCATTATGAAATTTTATTGAATAATAGGCATGGCCATGGTCCCGACCCGTCGGAGAAATCGATCCACCCGATTTGGTTGGAGACGGGGATTTCCTGTTAAACCGAGAATGGGGACGGGTATTGTATTCTCGCTCCGTCTCGTCCCGTATCCGTTATATATTGTAATTGATAAATTAAATATATATTATTTATTTCAACTAAATCGGTAATTCATAATTTTTTATTATCTAATTAGGTCTATAATCTAAAATTATTACAATTATAATTGTATAATCGACTTTGATTTGAGTAGGTAACTTCCCACACGTCTTTTATTAGAGTGATTGGTTCTATAAATTCAATTACGCGAATTCGATTGTTTGTCAAATTAAGGAAATTGAATTCCGCTAGAATGAACAAATTTGCAGCCGTAAGAAATTAACACATGCATCATCGTATGATAGTAATTGTTAAAGGGAGAAACGTAAAAATTGATCTTGACTCTCAATCTCTTTTAATCTCACCACACCTCATGAATTCTACTTCTCATGATAATTGATCTGGTGCATCACATTAATGTTGATTTTCAATTTGTATTGATCCAAGAGTAAATATCCGTTCTTACATTTCTCAACGTAATTTTCATTTTACTGTAAACCAACACTATATATATACACAACATTAAAGAGTATTCATGTAATTTATCATTAGTGAACTAATTTATCTAAGCATGTGCTTTAAGGGTCCACAAAGTACTGGTTTGACTTGTAGTAAAGTCAACATGGTTTGACTTGAAAAAAAGTCAATTGTATTAATTTAGGATATATATATATATATAATACGTTTCAAATGCAACTTATCACATTTGTACAATCAATGCAACTCAATCGATTGTGATATTTATGGAAATGATGAGAGTTCATTTATTATGAATTAAATATTTATGAAAGATGACTACGGTTAATTAATAATGATCAATGTTTTATATTAGAAAACAATCAAAACTTTTATGAAATCACATATTTATCAAATTAAATGGACGGTTGAAATTGATTAGTATTTGTTTTATAAATGTAAAAGGTTGCATAAGAACTCTTTCTCTCTCTCTCACACACACACATATATATAGGTGGAGGTTCAAACGGAAACATCTCTATTTTACGAAAACGCAAGAACACCCTTATCACATGTGATAATACGCGTGAGGGGACTCTGTGATGTGCGGATGACGTGTTCTACGACTTAGGTCGCGCCAAAGGTTATATGTGTCTATGATTTAGCATCACATGTAATGGTCTTGATGGATTATAGTGTTATATTAACAACAACCTTGTCACACGCGATAATACCTGTGAGAGGGCCTAGTGATGTAAGGGCGACTTGGCCCGCAACCAATATCACATCGAAAATCTCCCGTTTATCTGATTTAGTATCACATGTGTATCATATGAAATAATAGTATCACATGTGATTGTCTGTAATAAAATTTATATGTTATCGTAAAATGAAGGTGTTCTCATTTGAACCATTTCATATATATATATATATATACATATATATATATATATAGAGAGAGAGAGAGAGACTTGGGATCATGTGAGACCAATGTTTTTTCGTGAGACTCGTAAGACCAATTCTTAACCTTTGGATTAGATCTACAATTTGAACATTCATAATCACAAAAATTGCCACGATACTTCTTAATAATCACAGAATTTCCACCGTGCAACTTTAGACCATTAGATCATTAGTTTATAAAGTTAATCAACGAACATAACTTGGTCTTACGAATCTCACGAAAAACTTATGGTCTCACGTGAACCCAATCATATATATATATATATATATATATGTATGTTTCTTTGAAAACGAGATAAAAAAACCACTTTTAAGATGAATTTGAAATGAAGAGAAAACTACATTAATAAAAATTACAAGATCGAAGAAAGGTAAACAAGAAGCTCTACCGGTCTAATGATGTTTCAATCAAAACCGATCATTAACCAAACGAGTGCCATTTAATCGATTCTTATGGTAATTAATAACTAACGGAAAAGGTATCCATGTACTTTGGGCCGTCAGTCCACAAACCACCCTTGGTCTTCCATTCAACGATTAAACTTTGTTCAAAGGTTGTCATCACGTGTCCATGCGCCTCACGGTTTGCACATTGACATACGAATCAAAGGCCTCTAGTGTAGCGTGGAAGAACGTCATTGGTTGAAGTAAAAAGATCCACACAACCGATCACATAGGAGTCATGTCTCCCGTTCCCTTCCCCTATTTATTACCAAATTTGCCCCCAAGTTTTTGCGAAAATCCCGAATGTGTCCCTACCCCCCCATCGATGTTCAGGACAATAAGCGAGATTGCCTTCCTTCTTCCGCACATAGTTTTAGGGCGTATCAGTCGCCATTGCTATCTTTCTCTCTCTCATCACTTCCAACACTTACTTTCTCTCTCTAGAAAACACCGTTGATCAGGCGGTCTTCACCACATCAGAACCATGACTATGGTCACTCCACAACCATTAGATGTATGCCTCTCTTTCTTTCTATGTTTCGAAGTTTTCATTCTTGCTGTTCTATACATCTGAATAAGTGGGAACTGTTTCTATTACGTTGGGTTGTAGTGTCTTTGATATTCTTATTTTTTGTTCGGACTGTGATCGTGCTAGGGTTTTGTCGTCAGGGAGGGGAGTGTGTTAATGTAGTTCAATTGGCAAGTGGAGTATGAATTTAGGGTTTTTATTTTATTTGCGGAGAGATGAATTATGGTTTTTCTTGGATCGGCTTTTGCCTAGTTGATCGACTGTTTCTGTATTTGCTGCTTTCTTTTAATTTGACAGCAAGAAGATGAGGAGATGCTTGTGCCTCACACGGAGCTACTGGAAGGGCCTCAACCGGTTCAAGGTCCAATTGCTTTAGATGGTACTCCGCCAATTGAAGCCCCTCAACCCATGGAAGGTTCTTGCTTCCCTTCATGTGTTTCCTTAAGTTATTTCTACATATATGTACGTATATGCATCCGTAGACTCTTTCCATTTCATACTCTATCTGAAGATTGAAAGAGATAAACGAATTTCACTTGAGGCAAAAAGTGTCTCTGTGTGCATGGTACGAATGAACACTTGTACATGTGGCTTGATCTACTCAATTTAGATTCCTTTTACGTCTATGTTTAGTAGCTTGGATGTTGTATTCATATTTGGTTATTTAAGTTTCCGTTTTATAAATTGGATTCTTTAGTTGTGGGTCAAGCAGAAGTTGCTAGCACGGCAGAGAATCAAGCAGTTGAGGAGCAACCTCAGGCGTCCAGGTTTACATGGGTTATTGAGAATTTCTCTCGTCAAACCAACAAGAAGCTATATTCTGATGTCTTTGTGGTTGGTGCATATAAATGGTAAAGATCAATAGGTTTTGGCTTATTTAAGCATTTCTGTTAATTTCTTGTACATTTTCCTACATCCCATCTGATTTTATTTTTGGCAGGCGTGTTCTTATATTTCCCAAGGGAAACAATGTGGACCATTTGTCCATGTACTTAGACGTAGCTGATTCCTCATCCTTGCCATATGGTTGGAGTAGATATGCACAATTCAGTTTGGCTGTTGTTAATCAAATTCACAACAAGTTCACCATAAAGAAAGGTGTGTCTTATGCTTGTGTTGTTGGTCGTGGAGAAATGTTGTTATACAATTTATCTTTGTCATAGGGCACTCATAGCTGTTATACTATTTTCATTAGAATAATGACCAGCATTGTTGTGCTAGCAAGAGAATTGATAAAGTTTATTAGAGCTTATATTCCATTTAATGATATTACTGCTATTTATTTAATTGATGGATTTGGATTCTAATTAGAATTTGGTTACTTGATCACAGATTTTGTAATGATTGCCTTATTTTATGTTTCAAGGGAATATACTATAACGTCCAATAAGATGCAATGTGTTATTTTCTCTAGTCATTCTTGATCCATATAAAAAAATATTCTATCCGATAGGAGTTGCTTAAACTGGGAAAGATGAAGATATCTAACATGAGCACAAAATACAAATATATATTACCACTTCTTTTTGAAGTACTAAAACTTTTCACTTCAAGGCTTCCAACTATATGCTATATATTGTGTGTTCCCCCTTGAAGTTGAAAACATTCTCTCTCTTTCTTTGTGAAATCACCTGCCTTGTCATGTTCTTATGAAAATTGACTGCAATGTTTCGTGGAATACATGTACATAATATTTAAAGAAAGATAAGTTAGTGGAATGTAATTTATACAATTAGTTTCCTCTTTTTGTATGTTCTAATTATTTTTTGTAGTTTGCCAACTCATCAACATATTACTCTGGGATGCTTGTGCTAAGAAACTTAATCCTTCATTTCAACTTTTAAGTAGCACCTTTAAGTGGCAATAAATCGAAATTAAACATCAAGGATTTAGCAGAGGCTTTATACAACCATTTACTTCAGAGTTGTTGAGGAGCTAGAGTTTGCTGTGTGGTAGAAAGTTAGGACCAACCGAGCAGTAATAAAGCTATGAGAGAGAATATTTTAACACATAAACATATTGCGTGCTGACAACTGTAGCTCATGGCCCATATTAGGGTTTGATATGTTAGTTGGGTCCTAACTTTTATGTAGATTGTAATACAATAATTTGGAAGATTAATTGACATAGAAAACCCAGAAAGTTCAATTTGTAATGTATTACTTTATCACCTTATGAACTACTAAATCGATTTAAAAAGTGAAAAACTGCATATTTACCCTTTTGGTTGATGGATTTTGATGTTTTCTATCCAGTTTTCTTA